CCCCCCCCACTACTGCAACTGCCCAGACCCTGCAACCAGCCTGCCTGCTTTTGGTGGGACTAAGCCCCATTAGCCCTGGCATTCCACTACCTATGATTCTAATGTTTATGTGGAGCTGGGTAAGTTTCTCTACCAGGAGAGCAAACCTAGGAGAGAGCTCCCAGATTATCTGAATGCATGTAAGCAGCCTCTAATACCAAAAGTGATAGTATCGGACTACTGCTAAGGCATTGTTCCTGCCATCTGCTGTGAAATCAGGAAACTAGTCTAGTGCATCTGAAAACAATTCAGACCTTGTTAAACTCAGTCACCCCTATTTGAAATCTAGCTCAGCTACATGGTTAACAAACAACTCCAGTTGTTATATATGAATGTGCTATTATTAAAAAAAAAATCTTATTTCTGGGTTTTGTGCAACAGGTGCATCTGCCCACCTGCACAGAAGACCTGGCATGATTGGAGAAAAGAAAAATATGCTTGTTTTATAGGCAAATAGAGTTTTAAATGATAAAAAATAAATCTTATTATAAAGAAAGCCTATTGGATTTTCAGAGGTTTAAGATCTGTTATTGTGAGGGCCTGAACAATTTTATCATCTGGTGACTCCAGTATTATTGATTTCATTGACAGCTGCAGGGACCCAGCACCCAGTTAAGAGCAGCCTGTTAGTATAAAAGCTAATTTTTAACTCATATGTATTTTTTCAGAAAATCTCAACTAAGATGCAGTTTGTAGCTTCTAGTGAATCTGGAGGTTTTAGGTTCAGTTGAGCTTTTTGTTGGTTTTTTTTTTAACTGAAGTAACCAGAAAAGCTGGATAGATTTATCTCAGTGAATAGCTGTGTGTTCAGAAATGGAAAACAGTATTGCATAGTGGTGAATCATAAAAGTCAATATTTAACAAGAGGATGGAAAATCAGGGTATTTTAAAAATTAGGTTGGGATGCCACATTATTCCAGAGTCTGCAGTTACTATGATTATACAAATAAATATCTTTTCCACACGTCTAAATTATTTTTTTGCCTCTAAGGGATGAAGAATTCTCAGTGAGTTCTGTCTTGGCCTCTGATGTCATCCATGCAAATCGAAAAGATATCCCGTGTATTTTTAGAGTAAGTATATAGACTTGAATCTGATTACCTAGAGGGCAGAATGATTTAGCTTGATGCACTGGCCTTTCTCTAATATTGTTCTTCATAGTTCACTCTGATCCAGTTCCATCCATGTTAGCAGTTATACATAGAATTAGAATTTCAAAATTATACATATAACTTATTGCAGTGTTTCCCGAACTTTTGATATCTGTGGAACACTTTTTTTCTGGATTAAAATTGGCAGCACACTTCACCCACCAGTTCACAGGCCAGATCTATTCTGTGGGCCCAACCTCTCCACATGGGGCTGGCCTGGCAGGGGCCCCATCCAGCCCATTTTTCATGACCTTCTTCCACTGCTCTTGCAGCAAACTAGTGTGCTGCAGTACATCTTTTGGAAATCACTACCTTATTGTCACGGTAAAATTGCTGTTGGCAGCTTTTATAGGATCTCCTTTTCACTGATCTCTTATATTTCTAATCATGAAGAAAACATTTCTCTTGAAATGTGATCATTGGTTCCAAAATAGACCAGAGCTCCTGGTTGCCTTTTATCTCATACCAGTAGCTGGTGTGCCTTGTACATGACACAACCTAGAGTGGCAGCTAGAAGGCAACTTACCATGCAAGCTTCAGGGCTGTGACTGGACACTCTACATTCTTTATTTAAATAGAGACTTACAGTACCATTCTCTGCCCTTTTTCTGTAGTCCATTTTCTGGCCTTGATCATGAACTGCACAGTGCTCCGTGGTGCTACAATATCTTATTTGTCATTGTTTACTTTGTCAAAACCAAATTCCCCTTAACTGGGAAATGTATTTTTTTTTAATCTATTGAATTTCTCCCCCCTGATTTTAAGAACTCACTAGAAAACATATATTGTTCAGCCTTCAGTTACCAAGCGTGCAGTATCCCCCAGGCAGGGCCATCCCTAGGGGGAGTGAATCGAGGTAATTGCCCCGGGCCCTGCGGAGCCGGGCAGAGCTCCTGTGACAATTCCGCACTGCCACCGGCTTCATGTCTGGCCGCTCGGCACCGCCTTCTCCCCCCACCACCGAATCTGCCGTCGGCTTCCTTGCACACAAGCTGATTTGTCCTGGGCCCCACACCCTGCTCTGGTCATCTCTGTCCCTAGGTCATATTGTGGTAATCCTCTCTGCCCTAATTTCTGAGCCCCCATTCTTGTGGGCAAATGTTTACAGAACAACTGAAAAAGAACACGAAAGACATGGGAGAGAGATCTTATATTTTAGAAAGACATCCCCACATTTGTCATTCCTCCTCTCCTGACACTGAGTGTCACAACTAAGACATTTCTGGGAGTTCAGAGCCTTTAGAAAGTGTAGTTCTTCTTCGGGCTCTTTACATTGTTGTAAAACTCCTTAAAGTTTTACAGAGGCAACAGAAATAGCCTGGCAAAGAAACATACATTAAAAAATAAATCTATTTAGCCAGTGAAGGGTAAAGAACATTATCTATAGCAAAGCTGGACTCAGTTATTTGGAGTGATTAAGAATACACTCATGTATTTTCCCTTGCCCAAGCCCAGTTTCCAGAGAGAATAAAACATAAGTGAAAAGCATAATTTTTTTAGAGTCCTCCATAATTTATTCTCAAGCAGCTCCCAAAGTAACATCAACTGTTACTTGAAAGGCAGATAGTCAGATGCAAGGCTTGAGCTGATACCAGACTCCCAATAAGAGAAATGAATAACAAATAATAAGTAAAATGATAAATACATAAATAAATAGCTTCATCTAGAGCCCTCCTCTCCGAGTTTTTAGTATGCCTCCCATGTCTCTTCAGGTTACAGCGTTTCTCAGCAGACTAGCCACTGCACATGTCTACAGACCCAAGAGTATTATGACACTTAGTTGATGAAGGATTTGACTTCGGTGATTTTAGCCAGAGTGGATCATGGAATGTTTTTTGGAAATGTTCTTGCAGAATTTTCTCTTATTTATTGTACTGAATAACACTGGGATTTGTTCTGAAGGGAAACATTTACCCTTACATAAGGCATGGGATGGTGGTAAATAATAATGAATAGGAGAGAGAACAAGTTAAAGCTAATATTGTAATACGCTTATGAATTAGATTGCTGGATTAACAGCCACCAGCATAGAGTTGAATTCTTAGGTACCTTGAGTTTGATACTGGATGTCATTTCCAGCAAGTGACCTTTTTCATTTTTGCATAGAATCAAGAAGTCCATCTATTTGAAAAAGTTACCAATTCATAGTTCCCATTACATTAATATTAACAAAAATTGTTTGTCTGTAACAAATGCAGAATAGATTTTTCAGAAATACTTAGTAAGAATATTTTTCCTTAGTAAACTACCATAAAACATAGATACCCTACCTAATTTACAATGGAAATAAGTTATGAGTTAGGAGGTAGCAGATCCATTTTTTTTCCAGAAGGTTATTGAGTACACCCATCTTCACTGGATTATTTTAACTTGGAATTTCGGATGCTATAAAGCAGTTTCTCAGTTGATTGGGTATAGCCAAAAATGTACAGTTGGTGTATAATTAAAAATATAGTATAGTCATGTTCTTATGCATCAACAGCTACTGATAAATTCTTTTATTTGCTTGTTTGTTAAAACACATGTTTACCATGTTTCAGGTTACAGCTTCCCAGCTCTCTGCATCCAGTAATAAGTGCTCGATCCTGATTCTCGCAGACAGTGAGAATGAAAAGAGCAAGTGGGTAGGGGTGCTGAACGAATTGCATAGGATTCTGAAGAAGAACAAGCTGAAGGATCGGTCAGTCTATGTTCCCAAAGAGGCTTATGATAGCACCCTACCCCTCATCAAAACAACCCAGTCAGCAGCAATCATAGGTATGAAGCGGATGATCCGCAATAAACATTTTTGGGTATGATTTGGCATAATTGAATGCTGACACTTTGGTGCTCTCCTTTCTTAGATATGCATCACGGCTGTGATATCAGGCAATTAACTGAGTCACAAATCTTGTTTTTGTTCAGTTAAATTCAAACAATCATAAATTAGGGTGGTCAAAGTGCTTAAGATGCTACACTAAGATTGCATTCTTTCCTTATTCGCATCCCACCTTTAATACAATGATGTTTCTGACGCAGAGGCTAGAGTGGATGGCCAGATACAGACATGACGCTTTTACCGGTATAAATGATCGGAAACCAGCCTGTACCCATAACAGAACAGAAGTTCAGTGCACATAAACTGGTTTAAAAATGCTGGAACCTGATCTAAGATTTGCTCCCCCACACCCAAAAGGCAAATGTGTGTTCTGTTCACTACCGATCTAAAATACTCCCATACAGAAAACCGTGCAACTTCTACTGAGTCTATCTCAGGGATTTTAAATGTCTGTACCTAGGACAATTGCCTGTTAGCAAAAAATAGATACATCTAGGACCCTCTGTTTTCTCCCATGCTCTAAAACTAAAAGAAAATTCAAAATATGGCATTCAAGGTATGATGAAAGCCTCACCACTTCAGACATTTCAGCTAGATAAACATAATGCTAGAGAACAAACTAGAAGGAGTGACTGGCTTGATTAAACAGTTTATGTGACTCTTCTGTTTATAACTTTTATATAACATCAAAACAGATGTTTACAACTGGCCATGTACAACATTATTTTCTGCAAACACACCTCTTTAACTAGCCCAAGGCAGTTAAACTAGCCCAACAATTCAGATGCATAAAGCACTCTCCAGGACCAAAGACACAGCTTCTTACTAGTATTCCTGTCCTTTTGGGGTCCAGAAAGCAAGAACTTAAGTCAGAGGACCAATCTGGATCTTGTACAACAGCTGTACAGTAGTGTGTGGCTTGATTATTTAAATGTGACTTTTTGTTTGTCTGCTCTAAAGCAAGTATCATGCTTAAAACTGCTCTGAACAGTTGTTATGAATAATGTTTCGTGATGACATTTCTGCTGATGTGAGAACTGGCAAAAGACTTTCAGCCATTTGTAAGAAAAACAAAAATAAGTGTTGCTTTCTGTTTTAACTTTATTGTATTTGCCAATTTATTCATTTATGTATTTATTATGTTTGACAGAACTTTGTGTATTAATTCAGACAGATTTCATTATCTTCTTTTGTTTGAAGCAGTGTGTCCAAAAAATGCCTTTTTTTAATGTCATAGATCATGAAAGAATTGCTCTGGGGAATGAAGAAGGGTTATTTGTTGTTCACATCACCAAAGATGGTAAGAAATCCCAAACTGTAATAACTGCTAATATTTAATGTGAGGAGTTGAAAAAGTGACTGTAATATCTTCTAGATCTAGTTGTCTAAATTTGCAGTTCCAAAGATTTCTTCAGTAACTGCCAGCTGGGCAACCTCCCATGTGGGAGCTCATAACCAACCTATTCCATGATCTTTCTGTCTCTAGCATCATTGCCAGTAATAAAGATCCTGCAACTGGAACATAGCCAAAGATTTGGTTACACCAGGCAGAAGGGGCTCTGCAAAACTAATGGAAATAAAAGCTTGTAGATTAAACAGAGGTAGCACAAAGGTGCAGACATTTACTGCTGAATTAGCTTCTTTTTTTTAATCAGTCACTTTTGTGACTTACAGGCACCCTTTAAATTACCAGCTTTCACACCCCATTTGCTGTAAGCACTGCACAAGAGTCTGCTCTTTCTTCCACCCTCAGGTGTGATATGGAAGGGCTCCAGCTTTACAGAACATAGCTAATCTTGCCTTCATTCCAAAAGAGGACATTGGATTGCTAACAGAAAAACAATGAAAAATAGTTTTACTAGTATTATAACACTGAGACAATGTTTATTATATCAAAGCAATCAGTATAGGGATTTGTTTGTTTTATAATTTGCCTTAAAATAAACCTTTTTCAAGGAGCTGTTTAATCTGTATGCATGTTAAGATTGATTTACATCAGGACTTTATTTTTGTAGAGATTATTCGTGTTGGTGACAATAAGAAAGTTCATCAGATCGAGCTCATCCCAAACGAACAGCTCATTGCGGTGATCTCAGGACGAAACCGTCATGTACGGCTTTTTCCTATAGCAGCTTTGGATGGAAGAGAGACTGAGTTTTATAAGCTGGCAGAAACAAAAGGTTGCCAGACAATAGTTTCCGGACAAGTGCGCCATGGAGCCCTTACTTGCCTGTGTGTGGCTATGAAAAGACAAGTCCTCTGTTATGAACTAAATCAGAGTAAGACACGTCACAAAAAAATTAAGGAGATCCAAGTCCAGGGAAACGTCCAGTGGATGTCGATCTTCAGTGAGAGGCTGTGTGTGGGTTACCAGTCTGGATTCCTCAAATATCCCTTGCACGGAGAAGGGAACCCATATAGTTTGCTCCACCCAGATGACCACACACTATCATTTATCTCACAGCAGCCAACTGATGCCATCTGTGCAGTCGAAATATCAAATAAAGAATATCTGCTGTGTTTTAGCAGCGTAGGGGTTTATGTTGACTGCCAGGGTCGAAGATCTAGACAACAGGAATTGATGTGGCCTGCAACTCCATCCTCTTGCTGTAAGTGTTTCAGTGCATTTTAATACGTATGCTTATTAATACTGTGGTTGTACTTGCAGGGTGGGCACACTGCCCCAGTTGCACTAGCAGAAACACTTAATAAATAAATGTATTATCTAAATAGAGCCTGAGTCACAGAGTCCAGTCATACAGCCTGATTCTGATCTTGCACCCATTAGCTGTATACCTGGGTAAGAGACCACCTCCCTTGCTGTAAAAGAAGAAGAGTAGTGACTCAAGATTTTCAGTAATTAGGTGGCATGATTTTCAAAGTACTTAAAATGCTCAATGCCTACTAAGATTCACAGAACTTACCTGCACTTAGCACTTAGAATTAGGCCACTTTCATTTGGGTGCCTAAATATCAGCCCCAAATCTAAAACTTTTGGTTAGCATGAGGAGCCAGGCTTTCTTTAAGTTCATAGTCATTGGTATTCAAGTTTAATAAAATATTGTTGGTTTTCTCTCTCTCCATTTTCTCTTTCTTTCCCTCATTTTCCTTCTGCCCTCCTCATGCTCACCCATTGTCTCATCCTTTTCCACATCTTCTACCAACCACCCCCCCAAAAAATAAGTTTGTCAAAGCGATGGCATTAAGAAGGATCCAATGAAGAAAATCATCTCAGTTGAAACATGCCAAGAAGTTCTCTGTTAGAGTCAGTGCATGTTTTTCAAGGACATGACTTTCAGCTTACAACAAGGAGGAAAAAGAGCATGCCTTTTCTTACTTCTTTAAAGGGCTGTCTGATTTAATTTAAAATTAATTTAAAGCATCCAGAAGTCCCAAAATTAGCTAGTTGATAAGCATATTATTATTCATCTTGTGTTTTTGGTTTGTTTATTAATACTTTTTCATCATGGAAATTTTCCTTCACCATGAAGGCAGCTTGCTTATGTCCTGTACCACCTGAGTGCAGTCTCTGTTGAAAGAGAAACATGTCCTTTATTTCTCAACCACAAGATGGAGACTAGCACTTTTGGGCCAAAGCAAGGGGGAAATGGACAATGGATGGATGGATGAATTTACTAGTACATCACTATTACCAAGGCTGCCCAGAGTGGTCATTAGCAACTCCAAAAGCTTTTTGCTTAGGTAGAGCAAGTTGATACTCTAACTGCAGTTCTACTGAATTAACATCCAGCCACAAATACTGCCCACAATTAGCATAAACTGAGACCTTTGGTAATCTTAACAGAAAGGTAAAATAGTGTTGGGTGTGGGAATACAACTCCCCTATCACCAGAAGAAATAGCTAGTGAAATGTGCCAGATTGGTAGCAATAATTAGTACAGACCAAATGGTAGTGAAATATGCCAGATTCATAGCACTACATTCTGTTAAAACCTGGAAAATAGGAAATACTTAAAGCCACATGAGATGGGAAATGTGAATCTTGAGTATATCCATGGTTTCTTGTTCCAACTCCTGTTCCTTTAGGATGTGATCCAGTGTACAGTACCAGAAACTACAATTTTAATTTCAAACTCCAGTTAAGGTCACTCCATGACAACCATGTACTTGCCTATTTCATCATTTCATTTACAAAATCTGAGCACTCAAAAGCAAGGAAAGTAGTAGCTAAGGGCATACTGATAGAAGTCAACATCTCAGAGCAGTTTCTCAAGGATTTATAGCCCAAAATAGTTTTTCAGCAAAGACTGGAGATAATAAATATTTTTCTTTACCTTCAGAATAAATGTTATGGGCATTTTGAGGCAAAATATTTTCCAATCAAAAGCTATAGGGTTGCCAAAATAGGGCTTTGTAATGGAAATCAATTGCATCCTACCTGTGGAAAGGCTACTGCCTCTGGAATTGGATGCTATCCCAGTGTTCTCAGAAATGCTTGCAGTTCTTGAATTGTGTTCTTAATAAATGGAGCTAAATGGTTCTTAAGAAGTTCTGTTATGCACTCTCTTTTGTCTACATGCCCATGACAATATATTTAATCCTTCTGTCTCAGGTTATAATGCACCATACCTCTCAGTGTACAGTGAAAATGCAGTTGATATCTTTGACGTGAACTCCATGGAATGGATTCAGACTGTTCCACTCAAGAAGGTAACTAGCTGTTGACACTGAGCAGCTAAGGAGTTTGGTTAGCCTTTGGAAAATCTAAACCAGGGCTAGCCAGCCAGTGGCACAGGTTTCACAAGTGGCAAAGGCAGCTTCTGTGTGTGGCGCACAGCAGATTTGGGAGGAGACAAACAACAGAGTGACAGATAGGTCTGGAAGCAGAAAGCAGAGCATCAGATGAAGTAGGAAGCACAGGGCAGGAAGCAAAAAACTGAACAGCAGATCAGGTAAAGGGAAGGGGTCAGAGTGGCATTCAGAGATGGTCCAAGGCTAATTTTTGGCATGCCTGCCAAAACAAGCTGGCCCCCACTGATCTAAATAAATGTATCTAAAAAGCTTATTGCAGCTGAGATGCAACACACCATTGTTGGTGGTTTCTTGAATATACTTGAAGTGAAGAAGTGGTTGCTAATACTGAAAATAAAGAATAGTCATGTATGTCATTTGAAAACTGAGGCTGCTTTGGCTGCAGTTTCATCATTGCAGATGCGTGATAAAACAATACCCAAAAGAGTCACATTTTGGTTTTATTCTAGAATATTAATCTCTGCATATTGGTTACATGTAGTTTCAGAGAGCCTGGTTGTATCTATGTTGTTACTGTAAAATGAGAGATTAGAGAGTGAAAAGATTTTTAAAAGATGCTTACCTTGTAATTTCAGTACCTTAGACATGTCTGAATGAGAAACAGTGTGGTACAAATTCTGATAAACCAAATGCTTTTTTGCTGAGGAGGAAGAGACATATTTTTCCTTGCAAAAGTACAGTATATCACAGCAAGGACCTGTTTTGTAGATAGAAAGCAGCTACTTTCCATTAAATGCACACAAGTATTAAAGAATTGAAGAGTGGGTGTGTGCCACACTTTGGGTTGGATTGATCATTGGGTACTTCCAGTTTTACAGAAATATAACTCCGTTGATTTGGCTGCAGTGACAGCAGCATAACATTTCGAACCACCACAAACTTCCTTTGTGATGTTAGGCAAGTCTCAAGGCTTTGTCCACCCGGTTTTCATGCTGAACCTTAGACTGCTGCAAGGAAACAAACTTGCTCTTGCCTGGCACGTGCCAAATCCCATAAAATAAGACAGCAGAATCAGCTAAGAGGGGCCCTGAGTGCATGCCCCAGTACCACTCTTGGGTTCTTTGTCTTGGGTATGCTACCCAAGACTGCTGTAAAGTAGCTAACATTGCCTCATTTCTGAGATTTGGTGCACACCAGGTGAGAGGCATGCTTACTGGCAGTAGTCCCAGGCACCACACAGATGGTACACAGCATTTTCATCTCTCTTTGCCCCAGTTCCCCATCTGTAAAATGCGGGTAATAGTATTTCTCTATACCGTGTGGCTGCTGTGGTTATAAATGGATTAAAGATTGTGAGGTGCTCAGGTATGGTGAGAGAGCCCATGTAAGTACCTTACGGGGGGAGAGAGAGGCTTAGACTCCTTAACTGTAAGAGCATCAGTATGTAGCTTGAAGTTATAAATTACTGTATTTTCCTGCATCCCACACACCCCTAAGTAAGACACGCACTTTGTTTGGGAGGGCAGAATAAAAAAAAAAAAATTCTAGTCGTGGCCACACGGAACAGGGACAGAGCCTTCTCTTCCTCTCATTTGCCCTCCCTTTCCTGCTCAAGCAAAAGCAACAGTTTTAATGCTTGCACAGTTGACTGCTCAGCCAAAAACTATTGCCAGCCTGGCAGTGGCTATGAAAGGGTTACATCCAGAACTGCTGCTGAAGACTGGACTCTGCCCTTCCTTCTGTGCAGCTGGGGCAGGGGAGGAAGAGAAGTAGCAGCCATTTTCTGGCCTTTCCATGCTTCTATCCTGAGCAAAAAACAGCTTCCCTGTTTAAGACAAGCACCCCAATTTTGGAAGGCTAGTTTTTGGGGAAAGGGTGGGTGTGGTATGCAAGTAAATATGGTAGTTCTTTCAAAGTCCAACCTTCTTCTGTGCATAATGTTTTAGCGAGTTAGTGTGATTAAGATGCACCAGTTCCTGTAACTAGCAGCAAACAAGGGAGTGATGTGACTGGCACTACAGCCAGTTGTCTTTGACACTTTAGGCTGAATGATTGTGCACCTGTTTTACGTCTTAGTCAACTACGGGCAGCCTTTGGTATGAGTCCAGAGTACAACTTGAATTAACACTTCTAGGGCCATAATGGGGCACCTTAATCATTTTGTCACCACACACATCAAACCAGTACTTTACTAACTCTCGAAGCTAACTTACTCCATCCTTTGCATGTCAGATCTCAGAATTATTAAATTGATAAACAATAAGGCAGATACTTTGACTAAGTAAAATTTATAATCTATGGCTGATTTTAAATTTTCATACCACTGGTAAAACAAACACTGCTTTTCAGCAAGAGGGATGCTACAGCATGTAGGAGACTTAAAGATAACAATATGTTATAAAGAATTTATTCTTTAATACAGGCTACAATCTAGAGGCAGTGAGCAGTAATCTTTTTGGAATTGAAACTACAAAAATCTATATGTCGTGATATTCTGCCATGTAGAATCATCAAGTTGCAAAACATCCTCGAGACATGAAAATAATGTCCCAACAGAGGCATGCCTTAGCATGAAAAAATGGACTCTCCGTGGCTGTCTATACACATGCTTATTCGCTTCTAATTGGAACGCTCCAATGTCAGGTCACCCCCCCGCGTTTCAAAACGGTCATGGGTGCGCTTTAACTAAACCTTGTCGAATAAGCATTAGTTAAAGCACCCCCATGACCATTTTGAAATGCAGGGGGACCTTAATAAATGTTATGGTGAGCTATTTTAATAAGAGCAGCTGTCCAGGAACTGCTTTAATTAAAACGCCTGCCACTCCCACCTCTGAGCACATGTATAGGCAGCCCATGTGTGTGAATGTTGAAACAGTTGGCTCTAGCCTGCCATCATCATTCAGTTATAAATTGAGTTTTTATGTAGTTCGCTGTGTGCAGGTTTTTCAAATGAAGCCTTAAAAACTGGTAACCATTAAAGGTCACTTGTCATGTCTCACAAGAGCCAGGAAACCTCATCTGACCTTAGCCAAAATCCACTTTTTCGAAACTATGTATGACATGTGCTTTGCACTAATTGATTACCTCCAAGCTTGGTGTATCTCAGTGATGTTTGCTTTATATTGTAACGTTCTTTGGAAGAAAGGCATTATATAAATGTATATTTTATTAAGATATTTCTGAATTAACTTGTTTCAGGTACGACCTTTGAATACAGAAGGATCACTAAACCTCTTAGGACTGGAGACAATTAGATTAATATATTTCAAAAATAAAATGGCAGGTGAGTAAGAAAGAGCAGATTTTAATTGTGTTAATGTCTTTTTTTTAAATGGCATCTTGCTCTGGTCTGGGTCTTTGTATTGATGCGTTGACATTTTCTCATGGGTCTTCATGAGCATCTTTTTTTGCAAGGTTCCTCCACTCTTCTTAACGTAAAATAATCAACAATAATGTCAGTCACAGATGGGTTTGGGTTTTGTTTTTGTTTTTTTTCTGGGAATAATTCAGTGTGATGCATGAGGATTTTATCTTTTGTCATAAAATTAATAGATTGTGACAAATGCTACATAAACATTAATAGCAGCAATAGCTATAATAGTATCCTAATCAAATACCACATTTTCTTGTATATAACCTACACCTTTTCCCCTCAACCCAGCTGGTAAACATTGGAGTGCACGTTATATGCAAGAAAAACAGATCCACGTGGGTCCGGAAACCTGGTGTGGCAGGAGCAGTGGCAGCATTAGTGGCTGCAAATCTGAGAGCCACAACAATTAACCCTGCCACGACTACCCCACTGCCAAATTCAGGTTCCGTATGTTCAAAACCAGCAAGTAATCTTAGCCTTTTTTGACATTGAGGTTCCTGCCATTCGGTTAACATTGCTAAAGATCTAATCCCTATACTTAAAGATAAGTAGGCAAGCAGCCCATGTGGAAAAGATCTACGCTTTTCCCCACAGATGTGCCAAAAGATATCAAGCTTAAGCATTTCATAAGAAGTAGTCTCTTTAGAGTGAGATCTGAATGAAAAAGAACCTTGCATTGAATTTCCAGATGCTTGGCAGAATAAGATGCTTCTTGTGCTTTTAAGCAAGTACTGTTTTCCAAATGTCTTTGAGCAGTTTGGACCTTCTTAGCTATCAGGTTGTGTGATGACACCACCTAGATTTTGCTGGTGCTAAGAAAATAAATTTTAGATTGTGTAAATTTTAAAGGGCATTGAGGCCCTTGGCAAGTGTTAATTTAATAGTGATATGGGATCTCAATGATCTCACAAGGTCCCTTCCAGCCCTAAACTTCTGTGAATCTGATTACAGACAGGGCCGTCCCTGGGGGAGGGGTGGGGAGGGGGAAATCAGGGTGGTCACCCTGGGCCCTGCACTTTGTGGGGCCCCACAGTCAGTGCAATATAGGCCCCTCCACGGCCGCCATGCACCACTGCTGCTGAGTGCCGCCGGCTCTGCCCCCCGCCCCGCCTTCCGCTCTGCCAGCTCTGGCCTCTCACCATCCCCCTCCCCCCTGGGCCCCTCACAGGCTGATATGCGCTGGGCTCTGCACACCCCTAGGGACAACTCTGATCACAGATACCAAAAATTGTGCATCCTGCCATGCCACATATGCATGGCAAAATGTGTGATTTGGGCACCAGATCACAACTATGCCCTGTCAGTACAGCTCCCTTTCAACTTGCCAGTATATGTAGAGCCCAGGATCATGATGGTCTCCCCCTGCTTGGCAAAGTCAAAGCTGAGCATGCAGCTCTGCAAGCACTGGGCAGGAAGAGAGAACAGGAATCGCTCCATAAATAGAAGTTCTGCCAGGGCCCGGATTCTTTAGCATAAAGCGGAACCTATTTGAAAAAGCACAGCAGAAAGATATTTTAAGAATACAGTGCAGTTACTGGAGTTCTACTGAAACATGACAGTATCTATAGGAACCATGAAGAGTGTAAATCAAAAGAGATGTATTTATTTTGGTGAGAAATGGTCTTTACCTGAAATTGATGAGAGACAGAAATAGGAAAGAAACTGATTTTGAGTCACTAGCTTTTTTCTTTTTCAAGCAATTAGGATATTCTATTTAAATAGGCTTGAAATAAGATAATGTTTCAGCTAATTTAAGCAAGAGACATTTTTCCTCCACTGTTTCAGATAACAGGAAATTTCTTTCCATTTCTACCCAATTTATATTGGTATTATTTCTTATTCGTATTGCAGTAGTATCTAGAAGCAGTGATACCTAAAAGCCTGGTCAAATATCAGAGTCCAGTTGTCTGTGCATTATACACATGTGCAGTAAAAGGCAGTTTTTGTTCTCAATACCATAAATAGCATATCAAGAATGACAGCAGGTAGCTGAAACAGCCATGTCATGCGGAAGTGGAGGAGGAACAAGATGCCTGTGAAACTAACTTGTTTAGTGTAATTCCATAAATAAGTATACCTAACACATATACCCAGTGCAAACCCTTACAGCAAGGGGATGCCAAGCTCCTTGCTGTACTATACCATAATGCTAACACAGTACCTTTTCATCAGTGTTGGCAGGCTAGGGCCAGAACAGGGATTACATTTCTAACAGGAGAATTGCTGCTCTCCCAGTAGGAATTGCCAGCACACAGGCCTTTATTCAGTTTCTCACCAAGGAAATGTGCCCCACCTATGAAAAAGATCTTCCATCTTGACACCTGGAAGATCTGCCCCAAGAGAGTTTCTCTTGCTAAAGTGAGCACATATATCCTCGACTCTTCTATGATCAGGAGGAGTTGAGCAGCAGCTTCCCTTGTGCCTTCCCCAGAGTGGGGGGGACTGAGGTCTGGGGAAAGTGCAGGGCCATTTCCACTCAGCCTTACGCCTCCCAGAGGAGTTCAGCTGCCACAGTCTTCATATGACCAAGGAGATCCCAGTCAGGGGAAGACTCAGGAATTAGTGGCACCTGGACTCCTCCTGAGCGAGCGAAGAGCTGCAACTTCCCTAGACCTTTCTCAGACCAGGGACTTCACTGCTCTCCCAGCCTTCCCCAGACTGGGGTGACCCTGCTAGGGAGCAGGGGAGAGAAGACATCTGCAGGCTGGAACACCGCTATGCTCCCTCTGTTGGGAAGATTTCTTTTGAACCAGATTTCCTGGAAATTTGCAGTGGTAGAAAAGAATGCCTGTCCGTAACCCCTGTCTCTTCACAAAGAGCTTCCTTTTGCCTCTCACTATTGAGAAAACACACTGCAGTACAGCACATTGATCTCCCTGAAAAGAGTAGAATACATTACCTTAATTATACCTTCAGCAGCATCAGTATGTATTCAGCAGTCATTATACAAGCGTGGATCAAGGAAGCGGTTTGCTTTCTGTTGGTGACAGAAGAATCAGGGTTGTAACTAACTCTGAGGCAGCTATGAAATTATTCAGCTGCAAGTGACAGTTACAGAATCAGCCCCTTACTGATTAAGCTAAGGTTTGGCCACATCTTTTATGTTCATGGTATTTCTGCTATTTAACTGAATCTTGCATTCTGTTTTTCCTGTAAACGTGACTCATGGGGCAAGTCCCCCTGATGTGATGGTGAATGGTAGTAGTTGACAAAAGAACCCGTGCATTTTTGGATACCTCTCTGAGGGCTTCTAAATTGATGAACTTGACCCTTCTGAACACCCAGCAGCTTTATACAGTTGTACAGGGGACGAGTCAAGTGATTGTGATCCCCCAAAATTGTACAGAACCTAAATAAAATGTCCCCCCTCCCAAGAAGTGTAGTAAATATTTAATTAAGTGACTCACTGGATTTTTTTATATTGTTTCCAGAGGGAGATGAATTGGTCGTTCCTGAGACATCAGATAATAGCCGAAAACAAATGGTTCGAAACATCAATAATAAGCGTCGTTATTCATTCAGAGTACCAGAGGAGGAGAGGATGCAGCAGAGGAGGTCGGTATTCAACCTATACTTGTCTTCTGTACATGCCTGTAGGCCCTGAAGGATTGTGTGTCTGATGTCAGTGTAGTATTTCATTTGTTAGAGAAAGTTACCAAACACCTACGCAGACATTTGTGCGTCTTCACCACTGTGTTTATTCTTGATGTACAATTTGTATTAATATCAGTCTGAATATGAATATGCACTGGATATTTAAGTACTTTGATTCCATTTTTAATAAACTCTTTATGTGAAACAGTTACTGTAACTTGGAATGCATGCCTCCACATACTGTATATACGTACATATGTGTGTGTGTGTGCATATACTGTATATATAAAGTTCTGTAATAAACATTTTACAAAAGAAGATTATATTGCTAACTATGCATATGGATTAATTACTTTCAGACTCTGGTTCAGCTTTTCTTTGTTTAGGGCTGTTCCCATCCCATTCTGAACAGTATTCCAAGGCAGCTGTTTTTTGCTAATGAATAATTGAACTGATGAGTCTTATGGAACGTTCATAAGCTTCCTCTAAATCACAGAGAAGTCACTGGGATGGTGGTGCTTCAGGGCAGGGTTTTATATAAAATGGAAACTCCTTACAGACTGTCACTTTAGAAAATATTTGAAATAAAGAATCGAGACGGGTTTACAGGGCTTATAATAGACTTAACTGATGATATTCGCATGAGATGATTTTGTCTACAGAAGGTTGCCAGCTACTATGGTAAAATATATCAAAAGAAATAAACATTTTTGTTCTCCAACTACCCATTCCTTCCCCTGAAAATATGGTTGACCTTCTGCTTTGCTTTCTATTTGGCTCAAAGAAAAGCAACAGCTAGTGTGCTAAAATGCCATAGCTCTTGACTTTAAGTTTTCCAAGTTATTTGTGGTTATATCTTTTAAATTTTTATTTTATTTTGAGTTCTGAAAGGCATCCTTGACATTTTGGAGAGCTCTTAAAATAATTCTGACCACAGAATATGAAAGGTAGTGCAGTATTCTTCTAATTCTTCTTTTATCTTCTGTCCTTCATTTCCATCTCCATCTTTGCAGTATCAAGTCACCAGTGAGCCTGCTTCTGCACCTTTTCTTGAGTACTGTCTCAGCTCATGCTGGTTGTGCATTCCCTGTATCTCAGTAACTATTCAGATTTTTTATGGGTGTGGGCTGATAGCCTGCATAACAATGTTCCCTCCTTCCTGCCCCTTCTCCCACTTCCCCAAACTGGGGGCTGGCACAGGGCAATGCCAACAGCAAGGGCTGCCCTTCTGTTTAACATGGCCAAGTGTTTAGTCTATGAATTTTCATTTAAAATTAACTAAGTGGAGAATATATATCATTTGAATTGTTTTAATATCCATTTTCCTATTGAATAAAATATCTAAACTAAGTATTTTCTCTTGCAGGGAGATGCTACGAGATCCTGAAATGAGAAATAAATTAATTTCTAACCCAACTAATTTTAACCACATAGCACACATGGGTCCAGGAGATGGTATACAGATCCTCAAAGACCTGCCTATGGTGAGTGAGCGAGGGAACAGAGGTGGGAATGGATGTAACTGAGATTGCAAATAAGAGAAATGACGATCTGGCTAGTGTTTTCTTTGTGTTCAAAATTTTTGCTCTTTGGATTAAAGATGACACAATAGAATGGGATCTAAACAGTCTATTACAGCTGGAGCTCAGGCTTGAAATGTGTATAAGTACATACAGGAGAAACAAATCATTAGTGCCTCCTGAATTATCTGCAGTCTGGAGTTTGGACACTTCTTTATGTGGCGCCCACTGTGGAAGTATTAGGATGGAGTTTCTTTCCTCCTAAGGCCAAGCAGCAGCTCTGGGTCTGCTTCTGCATTTTCAGGGCAGCAATCACATCTGTGATATCTGTTTTGACAGAGGGATTCCCTGGTTGTTTATCCCATCTCCCACTCTACCTTGCCATAAACCTGTTGTAGCCTGTGTCCCTACCCTATGTTACTACAGCTAGAATCTAGGTTTAGTCCATGCTGAAAATTCCCCTTTCCACTGCCTGCCAGGCTCTTGGCCTTGTTAAAATAAAGCATCTATTTTTAAGCCAAATAACTGCTTGATGTTTAGATGATGCAAAGCCTCTGACAAAAGGGCATACATAGAGCCCCCACCAGCAACCCCTAGTCAGGCAGTGCTCCCCTTGAAGCTAGTGAAAGCTTCCCTGAGCTATGGACTGAAAAATAATTTGTTCAGATAATTTATAAGCTCATCTCATAAACAGTGTTCTTGTGGTTTGACTCACCATCATGTTTATGATGGAGTTTATGAGCAGAAGGTAGCAGAAAACCTTTGCAGCTATCACTGGTCTTTTAGAAGAGGAGGGAAAGATGTTGCTAAAACATGCAGTGGGATCCCACTGTTTGAGTCTGGGGTACAAGCACTGGCCTCAGAATGCTCATTTGACCTCATGTCTTCTGTAACTGGTGATACTTTTGTATTACCCTCCCATAAGGCGCTTCACATGCCACGTTAACCCCTTTAGAAGGGTGAGTTCATTGAGACCGAGGACGTGCAGAAAATGATCTCTCTCTAACCAGTAATAGCCCAGCACTGGCGGGCTTTATGGTCAAGTTAAACAAGAAGCAACAGAAAGGTCACTTAGTGCTTGAATAAGAGCAAGTTAGATAGTGCAATACCTGAGGCAGTCCCCAAGGGAAGCTGGTAAATAGTTCATCTCGCTAATAAAGAATGGCTGGAGACGTGCTGTGTTCAGATTCCTAACTGAGTTATTTAAAAATGGGATGATGATCTTCGGAGGGGCAGGGGGTAGGGCTTGAGCTAGAAATAAGCAAAAATATAATTATCCCACTTTCAGCTGGTACAATAAAAGTGTCATGGCTTGCTTAAAGGGAGGAATATCTGTTACTGCTAAGGTGAAGGGAATGCCAAAAGCATTAGTGTTGATTGTCCTCAAGGAGTAGAAATGCATGGGAAACACCAGTTGCTAAAATAATTCACCCAGATCCACTTTAGATGCAGAAAAAGAACTGAGTGGAATGATGAAGTGGCCCCTGTATGGCACTTTTTATATTAACAGATTGTTAGCAATTTGCTACTGTTACTACATTCAGTAGAGCTCTTCCTCGCTGAAGGACATTTAGGACATTCTGACCAAACAGACTTCACTTCAGTTTCCGGGTCACATTTGGAAGTAGGGTTTAGTTTCCTCCTTTTTCCAATCAACAAGACTTTTGCTTTTCATTTAAAATAAATAAAAGGAGACAATATTTCTATACAAGGTAAAACAGAGCTATACATTTCTTCAGTCTTCCAGGTTTATTGATATTAGCATTAAGAATTCACTGCTGCAAGTTAATATACAGAGCTCAGTGGTGGGAGCCATTATTGAGGTAAAACTGGATTTGGTATTTATTATAGCTGTGCCCACAGGGTCATAGGAAGTAGGATAAAATAAGAGTAACACCAGTGACTCTGCTTTTACATATTAACTGATAACCTGGGGTCAGGAAAACATTTCCCCCAAAGAAATGCTTTTGCACTTTGTTTTCCCCTCCACAATTTCCTCTGAAGCATTCTGTTGGACTAGACATACATTTTAACCTGTGTCAAGCTGATTGCTTTGTTCCTGCTG